TGAACCGACACTAAACGCCTCAACCCACAGCGCACACCATACACGTTTTTCAAGGCATTTTGCAAAATTGCCCGATAACCCTAAACCCTAAACCCTAAACCCTAAACCCTAAACCCTAAACCCTAGACTTGCCCTAAACCGTAAACCGTAAACCCCTAAACCCTAATCCCTTAGAGGCTTAGATTGCGCGTCACCTTGCGGCAGCCAAGTATGGGGACTACCCGGCTATATAAGGGGTATACAATAGTTATTTAAGGTAATGGGATTAAGGGTCCCTATTAGGGGTCCCTCCTAAAGTCTCCATATTAACCCCCCTAAACCCTAAACCCTAAACCCTAAACCCTACACCTACAAAGGTCCCTCCTAAGCCCTTAGCCAGGAATCTCCTCGACAAGCAGCCGAGCTCCGAAGTCGCCTGGAACCTCAGCGCTCGGAGGGGCCGGGAGCGTTGTTTTTATATAAAAATAACAACAAGAATAATAAGAATAGTAATAATAGTAGTAATAATGATAGTGGTAATCGTAGATATTCTTCAAACTTTAAAAGATATGAATATCAACATTTGGCGTTATTAACTTTTGTTTTTGTTGTTTGAGTTGTTGTTCTTGTTATAACCCGTGTTTTTCAGGGTTGAGGGGCTTTGGGTTCTGGGTTTTCGTCGTGTTTTCAGGGGTTCAGGGTTTACGATTTGGCTTGGAGTTTTCAGGTGTAGGGCCTGGTATGTCAGCGAAATGACGAAGAGAGAGCTCAAGTTCTCCCACGGTGACATCGAGGCGTTGGTGGAGGCGACCGCGGCTGGCGGGGTGGAATACATGGTCGAAGCGGTTATGCACGCTTGCCATGCAAAAGCGACGCACTCTTTGCTCGCCGGCAGGCCGTCCGTGGCGGTGATGTCATCATACCACCGACAGCGAAGAAGCAAGAAGATTGCGAGCTCCTCAAACCCTAAGCCCCTAGGGAAGTTAGGTTGGGGTCCAGGGCTCCGCCCGGAAGCTGCAACACTTTTAAACTCCTCCGCTAGTCTAATAACCATAACTTCTCAACCCTGAAGCCTAAATCTTATGAGACACCAATTGTCGAGGATCGTCGTTGCATTCTTCTTCATCCTAAAACCCAACACCCTGAACCTAAACCCTAAACCCTAAACCCTCAACCCTAAGCCCACTTTTCATTTTTGGGGAATGTTCCCAGGTCGAGGAGGTTGGCAAGCAGCAGAACAACCTCAAGGAGCTCAGCTGTCGGTACTAGTAAATGGCGCTCTGGGGGTGTATGTACATATATATAGACACATACATTCATAGACACGTAATTTTTGGAGATGAATAGATATAGACAGATAGATAGATAGACAAATAGACAGATCGACAGACAGAGCGACGGAGAGACGGACAGCCAGACGGACGGACAGACAGACAGACATAGGTTGACCGATCGACAGATAGATGGGTAGATTCATATGTGTAAAACATATTTTGTGTGTGTATATACATATATTTATATATGTATATACACATGCATGTATGTATGTGACGATGTATACGAGGCCCTGAGCCCTAACCCCTAAACCGAAGGTGCACAGGGCTAAGCGCAATAAACTTCACCTCGGCCCTCCGCCACATTTCTGCAAGGAGAAGACGAAGCAGATGAAGGCGGCATTGCAGCTTGTGCGGCCTTGTGTGTCTGTGCTTTTTGCGACCACTTGCTGCTGCTGTTGCTACTGCTCCTCTGCTGATACCAGTAGTACAACGGCGACGACGACATGCAACTGCAACTGCAACTGCTACTCCTACCACCACTACTACTACTACTACTACTACTACTACCACCACTACTGTTATTACTACTACTGCTGCTTCTTCTGCTTCTTCTCTTGCTGTTGTCGCCCCGGGGTCCATCAGGCCATGGCCGCCGAGCTGAACATGTACCACGCGCAGCTGAGCGACTACAAGGCAGGGGCTTCTCGGGGCTCAGGGCTCTTCGAGTTTCAGGGCTTTTTTGGGAGGTTTCGGGTTTATAAGTGTGGCGGAGGGTAATTTCGGGGGGTTGGGGCCTTTTGGGCTGTAGATTGCAGTATTTACGGTTCAGTGTCTCACATGCTATCGGAGTTGGACTTCATGTACCTGGCCTTCTGTACAGGATTGTGTGAAGTTCCATGGCTCGGACGACGACCGCAGCCCTGAAAGCCCCTCGCCCTCGACCCTGAATAGTCAAGTCCCAGAAGCCCCACGCCCCAACCCAGCTTCCCCGAGCTCCCTTCCAGGAGGAGATCGAGCGCGTCACGAAGGAGCTGCAGGACACCAAGCGGAGGCGTCGGCCTAGGGTTGACGGCTTAGCGGTTTTAATTTTGGGCAAGGCCTGTCCAGTCTTGAAAGACCCCGTGGGCCTAGTAAGCAATAGAGAGGACGGCCCTGGTCTTTCTGACGTTAGGGCCAGGGCTCGGCCCTAAAACCTAAATCCTGGATCCCTCTGTAAGCTCTAAACGGGTTGGGTTCCGAAGATGTGGAGTGCGAGTTCCCTCCTCCCCCCTCCACCCCCCAAGAATTGCCAAGTCCTGAACTCTAACCATTCAAACCTACACGCTGAAATCTAGGAATCTGAAGCCCTGGAGCAGCAATGGAGCCTTACACTCTAACCCCCAACAGGCCAATAGAGGGTTCTGAAACAGTATCCCCTCCTAGCCTCTGTATGACCACAGTACAATATACGCATAGTCTGTATTGTAGTTCCTTTTTTCGGGGTTACCTTATAGGATCCTTAATTTGTAATTTGGTTAAACCCAAAAGAGGAACTCGGCAAATTACATAAATTACCTGGCCTCTGAAAGGTACTTCGAGCAGAGACATCGCGAACAGCTGCTCAAGGAGAAAGTTCAGAGGGGCTGATCAGGGCAGAAAGGTTCCAAGGTGAGTAAGTATGGGTATGCGAGGGTTAAGCGCAGTCACCCATCTACATATATAGGTGGGATGTTCTGATATGGAGGGGTGGGATCTGGTGCTGGGGTATGGTACGGCAGGGTTACGCTGAGGCACGGTCTGGTATTTTGCGCGGTATGCCGGTATGGTATGGTGGCATGATGGTCTGTTTGTCTGTTTGTCTGCCTGCCTGCCTGCCTGCCTGCCTGCCTGCCTGCCTGCCTGCCTGCCTGCCTGCCTGCCTCTGCCTGCCTGCC